TATAACTCCTTCTGAGGTTCTTGTGTACCTTGTGTAATTCCATCTCTGTTGATTTCTTAAATTGTACAAAGAAATCTCATTTTGTAGATAGGAACCATTTTACTTATACATGTTGCATCTTAACTGATAAATTAGTTGTCTGGGACACCATCTGCCTCTTTGTCAACTCTATGAACAAACTGGTTTCCTCTCCTTCATGCTGCTTTTCCTGAGTCTCCTCTCTCCCTTCTAAGGCTAATCTCCCCAGAGGTGCTGTGCATCTCTGTCCTCTCCCCTTAGAAAGAACTTTATTCTCCTGATGCCAATGTCCATAGCAGCCTTATTCACAAGAGCCAGAAGGTGGAAACAACCCAAATGCCCATCAATGGATGAATGGATAAACAAAATGTGATTATGTACACACAATAGAATATTAGCATTAGAAAGGAATGAAATTCTGATATATGCTACAACATAAATAAACCTTCAAGACCTTATTCTAAGTGAAATAAGCCAGATACAAAAGGACAAATATTGTATGATTCCACTTATATGAATTATAGTCAAATTCATAGAAACAGAAAGTCTCTAGAATAGTCAAATTCATAGAGACAGAAAGTAGAATAGTGATTACCAGGGTCTAGAGGAAGGGGAGAATGGGGAGTTTATTGATTTGGGTACAGAGTTTCAGTTGGAGATAGTGAAAAATTTTGGAGAAGCATAGTGTGTTGGTCATACAACAAGATAAATATATTTAATGCCACTGAACTATATACTTAAAAATAGTTAAAATGGTACATTTTATTCATGTATATTTTACCACATTAAAAAAAAAAGAAGTTTATTCTTCTCTTTCTTCCATCTTCAACATCTCACTCTCTCTGGGATTTTTTTTTTCCTATCAGCAAATAAAGTTTCTCTGGTATAAGCCAAATTGAAAACCTTCATCAGCATTCCACCACTCCTCCAGCTGCCACCTCCCAGCCAACTTTTTGAAACGGTTGCAGAGACACACACTTTTATATTAATATGCTTACATGCTATTCACTCTTGTGATCACGCCCCTTTGACTTCTGCTCATGCCACTCTGCTGTGCCTTGCTTTGAATGGCTTTCTGTTGACAAATCCAATGAACACTCTTCAGTCCTCACCTAGCTGGACTCTGAGCAGGGTTCCCAGCCGTGGACCACATCTTCATTACACCCTTCTCAGATTCTCGTGCGACCACACTCTCCTGATTTCCTTTCTATCTGGCTGACTGTTCTTTCTCTATCTCTTTTGTCCACCCCCGCCTCCTTCCTGTATCCAACCTTTAAATGCCATAGTTTCTTAGGACCTGGGCATGGGCCCATTCACTTGGATGTCCCAGAGGCATACTGAAACAATCATGGTGTAAATTGTACTTTCACCACATCTCCACCGGCCTACCATTTCCAAATCACTCTTCTCTGGTCCAAGCCACCATCATCTGTCACCCACACTTCTGCAGTCATCCCCAACCAACTCTGCTGGTTTTATTAATTGTTCTGCTTTTACTTGCTGTTGGTTACTCCGGCAATCAGGGTAGTCTTTTAAAACTACTTACCACATCATATCACCTCTGCTCCAAAGACTTAGTTACTCCTGTTTCTCCTCTACCAGCTCCTGAAATCTGCCAGTTTCATCACGTGGCTTCTCCGTGCCTTGAGTGACTAAGCAATGACTGCAGACGAAACCCCCAGCTTCCTTCAGACCTGTGCTCGTGGCCTTTCTGCCCACATCCTGGCAGTGTCTCTCCTCTGCTCTCCTGGCTTCAGCCATCCTGGCCTTCTTTCACTGCTTGGAATGCGCCAGCCAAACCCATGTCCTTGGCACGTGCTGTTTCTTCCACCCACAGGCTTCTCTTCCACACTGTGCTTGTCTGGAACCTCTCACTGTTATATTCTCAGCTCAAATGCCATTTCTTCACTGAGGCCTTCCCCAAGCAATCAATTCCCTGTTATTGTCTCTCCTAGCATCCTTCATAGCACTTTTCACAACTGACGATTACATCTTTATACTTGTTAGGTGACTGTCTCCTCAATAAGAATGTAAATTCCATTAGGATAATGTGTGGTTTTGTATTGTAAAATAATATCAATTTATATCAAGTGCTTATGACAATATCCAGCACATAGTTGATGCCTAATAAATATTTTTTAAATAAAAAAAAAAGGAAGAAAATTTTCCATGAAGCTGTTTCATATAACCTCTATGGAAATAAACAGAAAAGTGGACAGGTGTTTTAAGCAAACTTATAATTCATGAACATCTAAATTTACATAAAGGGTATGTTGAAAGGTGATTTTTCCACTTTACAAAAAGATCCATCATAAGATTCTTTAAACAGGCTTCCCAGGTACATGTAAAATAAGATTTTATTGATTAAAACCATATGTTTGCACAGAAATGTTCAAGAAAATATCTTTTATATAAAACAAGGTTGACCTCTAAGCAATTTCCTTAAGGCACCTAGCCCAGAATGGCCAACTCTCAAATTTCTAAGGTAACAGATAATGGGAGGCCTGGAATGCAATGGATATTTGAAACCCTAGAATGCAAAGCAGTAATTTTAGCCATACGGGGTCCTCATGACTTTTCTCACAAAAATAGCTAATGGGAAGATAAACCAACCCAACCTCTCTTTCTGTATCTCAGTGAAAGTAAGTGTGGCTGTGAAATGACCCCCAAAAAGACTGCTCTGGGAAGGAAAACAAAGGCTTGTAAAAGCCACCAAATTGATGCTTTCCTCCTCCCTCCACCCTCACTACTACCACCACTGATAATTAAATTGTCTGATTGCAAAACTGGAAAAAGAATTCAGTGTGTTAATAAATAAAATGCAATTAACTTCTCTGGGTCTCAATTTCCTTGTCTTAACAACGTGAGAGTCCTTTTGAAGATTACCGTTTTATAATGCTGTTCTCGAACCTAACCAAACTTTACAAATAAGGTAATTTGTAATCATTTTCTCTAATAAAATGAGTTTCACAGCTATTTTTGCCCTTCTTACTGGAAACTTTAATAAAGGATCATGAACTATAAATCAAAACATTTATAATATCTGTGGAACTATTTTATTTGACTATTATTGACAGTTCTTGCTAAGAATAAAATACTTTGCAGAATTTACTTAAAACTAACATTTTTTTATCAAACATACTCCACTATAATGAAAGCATAGTAAGCTATTCTTTAACTGTAGTACAAATGAGACATTTTAGCTGCCAGAAGGAAAGATGATTTATTGGGTGTGGTAATAAAGATCAAGGTAGACTTGGGAATGGGTTAGTTTTGCCCTTCAAAAACAAGACTACTTTCATCTCAAAAAATCCAAAGCTTCCAAATTTAGAAGAAAATATGTGGGACATGGAAAAAAAATAAGCCTAGTAGCTATAAAGCTTTTGGCAACGTTTTTGCCCTCATCAACTTCCTGAAGCATGATTTCTACCCTGACTTCCCAAAATTTTGAATATTTTGCCCAAATACTATTATATGTAATGATATTTTGAGGGAAAATTATCTATCTAAGTGATATACTAAGGCATTAACTTCTCACGTGAACATACTTAGAGGAATGAGGCTGATCCTAAGACCAGCCTGAGCATGTGGAATTTGAAAAACCTCCCCAAGTTATTTGGATAGATGAATGGAGAGAGAGAAAGAGAGATAAGGCTAGAACTATAAACATACATACATACGTGTACACACACACACACACACACACACACACACACACACGGTTAAAATTTACTACTGTTTAAACAAACAAGGAATAAATGGGATTTCCATCAATTTAAGAAGAATCTTTACCTTATGTGTACAATATGCATAATTGCATGATTTTTGTCCCAGATTATTAGTAGAGCATCAGGTGGTCATTTTCTTTTTTCACATGTGCTGGTGCTGAGACCGTGGAATATTGCATCTGGAGAAAATGTCTATTGGGAAAAATGCCTGTCATATAAGAATATATCCTAGTAATAATTTAATTACATCTTCTTTTTTTTTTTTAATTTCAAATGTGCAGTTTTCACTTTCCTAAAAGTGCTAAGGAGACACAGTGTTCTTGTAAAGCAGCATAATTGCCACAGTGCGCATTTAACTCCAGATACGCAAGGCAGCCAGGAGTGCTCAGAGCACACTCACCGGGGCTGCCTTGGGAAGCTGGGTCCTGCGCTAGAGAGCGAGTGTGCGTGAGGGCAGGAGTGCCATGGAAGCCCCGACAGATTCCAAGCTCAGCCCTGCACTGATCCAGTCGGGAGGTCTTGGTCAAAGCTCAAAGGCTCTCAGAGCTTTCGATTCTTCACTGGTAAAACGAAAGTGTTGAACTGAGTGTTCTTTGAGGTCCCTGTGGCACTATCATCATATAATCCTATGAGTTTAACCTTAAATGTCAATGACACTAGAGCTTGAGGGGCCTTTTTAAAAGATTGTTCAATTTCTAGTTATATTTTAATGATAATCATTCAATTTTTCACTCTCTATCGAATTAATACTTCAACATTTTGACTATCTATCTGTCTGTCTGTCTACCTAACTATCTAAATAATCTGGGGAGAGCTTCAAATTACACATGCTCTGGCTGGTCTTCTTCCTACTGACACATACATGGGGATCAGAATCTCCTCACACTAGGACCTGACATGTACATTTTGAAGGAAGACCTATACTCTAGGCACCCAGAACAATAGAAAAATCACAAATCCAGCTCATGTTTCTGTCATCTTCAGAATTCCATAAAAGCACATGATATTGCGCTTGATGCATAACAAATAGGAGTAAAAAGAAGGAGAAAAGGAAAGAAGAAGGGAAAAAGTGAAATTCAGTAACCATTATGTTTCTGCTTTCGTTATCTTATTTTACTTCCATTTTATGCAAAATGATCTTATATTACTTAAAACGAAGAATTTTGGCTTAATGAGTTCATCCCAGAAACATCTTACCTTTACCACAAAAACAATATATTATTAATAACCACCTTGTCCTCCTTGTTCTACCAGGTTTGGAAAGAAGAAAGAGGATAAGGGTGAGAAGAGTGAGCAGAAAGCCCCTCTGAAGCGTGGTGGCCTGAGAGAAGAGGAGCTTGAGAGAATGAAAGAAGAGCGCGAAAGGTAAGCAGACATGCAAAGGCCCTTATTTTGTTTGAGCCCATGGTCTGTGTTTAATTTGGATATTGCCAACAATCAACTGGAGAAATGTTATTTTAAGAAGCACAGAGGTTGACTGATACAAAAGAAAAGGCATCTGTTATAAAAGGAATCTCCCTTTCTGGGGAATTTTTATAATATTTAGAGAAGAAATTAACTTCATGTTTTTATTATATTAGTACTTATAATTCCATAATACACTACCTCCAGTTTTGAATAGAATAATGCATGTTTTCTCTATGGTTGAAATGATGAGGTTTTTTAAAATAGAAAAGTCGTTTTGATATTTGTGTTTAGAACTATCAAATTCCCATAGTCTGTTCCTAATATTTGTCAAGCCATTGTAGGCCTTCTTAATTTTATTCTGTTCAATCCGTTTAGGTACTGTAATTTGAGAAGTACATGTCCTTCATTTTTTAAAAGCCACTGTCTTTTATTAAGCTATCAGCAAGCTGAAAAGTATGTTGTCCATCTGGTAAAGGGCCGGATTCATTTGCTGAAATAATGACAGTTTGCAAGGGCTGAGTTCTCCTGTTTGAGGAGCTTAATGTTCCATTTGGACAAGAGGTCCTTCACATATCTTTGATGTTAACTCTGGCACTTATCCCAAGTGGATGTGTAAATGTCTGATTTTCAAACATGTAATTGAATATTCATATTTCTCCTGAAAATTCTTTGCCTTCGCAACTAAACGGAGCTTGGAGAAAGACTGAGATTATGACAAAACTAGCACATAATGTTAAGTATTTGATTCTGACTTCATCGTATAAGTAGTTAGATTTGTATAACCTTCCACCTGCTTATTAGTTACATTAGTTCTTTTGGTTTTTATGGAGTCAGTTCTTATTTTATTATGTAGGATGCGTACTAAGAAATCATATCTATTCATTGTGTTTTCTTGCACACAGCAGTCTAAGAGTATCTACTGTTAACCTTTGACCCCTATCTTATAGTCTATTCCCGTTGAGAAGGCTGACTTATCCCTCCCAATAGCGAGGGAAAAAGCTATTTAGTCCTTTCTCATTTTTGAGAGGTTGATAAGCTCAGTTCTAAGGTCACTGGAGCAGTTAAAAGGAAATCAAGTGTTTTACATTGTTGTTGACTATTCACCTGGCAGAGCTACCCCAAAGACAAGAAAGATATTCTCCATCATAACCCAAGATTCAGTAATCCTATAATGTGAAACGTAATTCAGGCGAAGATTTTAATGCAGATATTGGCAAAGGCATCTGGGAGGTGAGCCTTCATAGATCTTCACGCCTCCCTTGACTTCTCTTACTGAGGCTCAGCCTGCCTTGTCTTCAGGAAACTGAGCTGTTTGCTAGAATGCAGACTTGACATTTTTTTGTAGCTCTGTGCTTTCTTGGGATGGGGAAAAAAAAAAACTCTTAGTAGCTGGGGAGCTGTATGCCAGCTAGAAAATTGATAACCCATAAAATAAGGTGGGTTGTCTTTAAGCAAGAGTTCATTTCCTTGCTGGTTTTGCCTTTAGGAAGCAGGTGCCTGAGGGAGTTTTGTTCTTAAAAGCAGGGCTGTAAATTCACCTCAGCTGGCTATATAGGCTTCAGGTCCAATTTTTTAAAAATATGTCTGGTCAAAATAGTGAAAGAACTGTACTATTTAGCCTCCATTTAGGCCACTTCCCACACATGAACACATAAAACACATCTGATACAGGTTTCCTAGAGACAACATTGTCCCAATCATGTGCTGGGGGAAGGCATTGGGGAGTTGATTTTATGGTTGGGTGCTGTAGAATTAATGACCGAGGGCATGTCAGCAGCCCAGGGACTGAGGGCCACAGATGGTGGAGGTGGAGGCTGAACATCTGGCATTGCTTCCAACCCTTAAGCCCCGATCCTTGGCTCTCCATCCATAGGAAACCAATTCACAGCCTTAAAGAACTCAGCAAGTGTATCACTCTTTGTGGTAAGGCAATGGAAAAAAACGTAGAATAAAGTGAGAAATAGTGATGGAAGTAATTGTTGTCCTTTTTCCCAAATGCATTTTGAAATTTGTTTCCTTCACATGATTCAAGACATCCTATTGCTTACTTGTTTCATTCTAGCTGTCATGTGTATAATAGTTTTTCATTAACATATCCCTCTTTCAAAATATTTAAATCACTTAAGTAAAATATATACCATATAGTATTGGAGCCAGCTTGTGGCAGCTTATAAGAACCAATTGTTAAACTTTCAAGAATTTTGCAGTCTGGTGGTTATACCATCAGTAGTTTGAAATTGTCATGGTGTGAGTATTTACAACATAGTAATTGGCAAATGCAGTAAATTGGATTTATTTTTTTCAAAGAGCCAATTTACCAGAACATCATTGCTAGTCTATAACACCTATCTTTAGTGCATATTCAGGAAACAATTATCAAAAATAAATGCAGGAAAAAAATATTTAAATCAAACCACATGACTTCTTATAGCAGTGCTTCTCAAAATGTGGTCCATGGACCATCTGCATCACAGTAAATCATCAGAGGACCCTGTTAAAAATGAAGATGTCTTAGCCTCATACCACACTTGCACAATCGAAATCTTGGGAGTTAAAGCCCAGGAAACTGTGTTTAATAGGTAAGCTCAAGGTGATTCTTTAGCTTTCTAAAGTCTGAGAACCACTGACCTAGAGGGACAGGATTTGGCTGAAACATTAAACTATTCTTATCTTATGAAAAATATTCCACAGATTTTTTTCCCCAAGAGGACTGAGTGACCCAATCTACAAATATTGTCTTCTTTCCTCATGTGCCCTCTCTGAAGCAACCTTCCTTACTGGCACAGTCTTTGGTAAACACATGAGGAACCCTAGCCAGTGCTCACTCACCTAAGGGAATTTGGATCACTTGCCCCCAGCACTCCTTGTGCACACAAAACTTGCAAAAGCAATATCAGTTCATTAAGAAAATTTGGGGAACATAAAAACTATAAAGAAGACTATTAAAACCATATATAATTCTACCATAATCCCATAACCACTATTAATATTTTCATAATCTTTTTTCTATACATATATATTCGGCCCTTTATATCAGTAGGTTCCACATCCATGGATTCAACCAACTACCGATTGAAAATATTCAGAAAAAAAATTCCACAAAGTTCCAAAAAGCAAAACTTGAATTTTCTGCACCCTGTGTACTACACTGAATCCATGTGTGTGAAATGATATGTAGGCATTATATTACATCTTACAAGTAATCTAGAGGTGATTTAAAGCATACAGGAAGACGTGCATAGGTTATATGCAAATATTACCCCATTTCATATCAGAGATTTGAGCATCTGTGGATTTTTATCTGTGGGGTGTCCTAGAACCAATCCCCCACCGATACCAAGGGATGACTGTATTTTCTTTGAGAACCTGATATCCTATGCTACGTATATGCCAGCTTGCTTTTTCCACAGCATTAGATGGTGAACATTTACCCATGTCATTAATGTTTTAAAAACATGTCATTTTGATCACTGCCTAATATTCTGTGTGATCAATATCCAGTAAATTACTTATCTTACATTGTCAAAAATTTAGTCTGTTTCCATTTTGCACTGTATCAAATAATACTTGGATGGGTATCTAGTTACAAACATTCTTATTATATATTACCTTTTAAATCATATAATTCCTACTAAAGGTTCAATTTTCTTATAATTGTTTTACTCTAAGAATTAATGTAACCTCAACTCTAAATTTTAGGATTATATTATCCCTCCTCATTTGTAGCATTATTTTCTTATGATTTTTATATTTCATTTTAGTTTATCTACATATTTAATTTCTGATATAGAGCTGTTTTGATGCTATATACAAATAGTTCATTCATAGCTATACCTATGAAAAGGTCAAAAAAGCCATAAAAGGTGATTTGGGTTACTAGATTAGATTGGAGGTTATTGGGGGTGGAGCTCAAAAAAAAATAGATTGCAGGAATACAGAGTCTAGAACGGTGGTTCTTAATGGGAGGGTGCAATTTTGCCCCCTAAATGACATTTGGCTATGTCTGGAGACATTTTTATTGTCATAACTGCAGTGGGTGGGGGTACTGCCTTATACTGCATAGAAGCCAGGAATGCGGCTGAACATCCTACAACCTACAGGACAGCCCTCTCTCCCAACAATGAATTATTCAACCCAAAATATCAATAGTGCAGAGTTTGGGAAGCGCTGTTCTAATCTCCAGGCTTCAGAAAGAGCCAACAGTACTCTCCCAGACATCAGAATTGCATAGACTGGTGTTCTCCTGTGGATATGCAGAAAAATAGATGTTAGATGACATAACCCTAGAAGGATTATTTAGCTATTTGAGAATCATACCCAAAGATTGCTGATGAATATTCTACCAACATAAGCTTGCAAGAATAAAGTTTTCCTCGAAAGTGTATTTTTAACCATGGCCTGCTGAGCATTGGCATTAGTGATGGTGACTTGTTGATCCAATTGAGAATGCCAAGAAACCATGGGGGTTGATAATATTTAATACATCCGATGACAGAATCATCTGGAACAATGGACTGAATTAAACATAAAAAAAGTTAATAGAAATAAATGTAAAGTCTTGTGTTTAGTCCAAAAATGAACTCTACAAACACAGGATGTGGAAGGTTTGATTTAATACCAAATCCATGAAAAATCTGCCTGATGGTTTTAGTTGAGGGTAAGATTAGCATGAGTCAACATGCAGATATGCCTGCCAAAAACATAATCTGGTCCTAAGCTACGTTACTGGAAGTGCATCTGAAAAATAAAGGAAGAAACAATAATTCCTATCTTACACTACTCAGATCGCACCTGGAATATCCTGTGCCTCTCTCTTACACAGAGAATGGGGACATTAAATCTATGTGTTATGAAAAATGTTGAAGGACCTGGGGACATGTAGCTTACAGAGTGAGGACCTCACTGATTTCACATGCTTGAAGAACTGTCACATAAAGGAGAGATTAGATTTGTTTCAT